GGCGGCCCGCGGATTTCTAGCTGTAAGCAACCTATCCTTTTTGTCCGTCGTTGTCGTGTAGATAAGAATAATTGTTCTGAGAAGTTTATCGATAAAAATAATCTCATGTATCGGGCGTACACCAATACTCATATTATATAGTAGAAATATAAAATCCAAATACTCTGGTTCACTGATCGCTGTATATCAAAAACAAAAAACTTCTTCAACGTACGCATCTGAAATTTGGAACAGTCTTTCTTCTAATACTTTTACCTTGCAATAAGAAAGGATTTTTCAAAAATCGCATATTTAAGGGTCGAAACAGTTTTGGACTGGATGCATACATTTTTTAATTTTTTGGTTACCTAGGAAATATTTGATTTGTGTAATATGTTGATTTTAATAATCACCGATTAAGAATTATGTAAATTATTAAACTGTATAACAACATAATCAAAGCCATCATTTTAAACGGAAAATTTAAAGGTGAACATGTACTATTACCACGCATCCCAATGACTCCAACAGATAAGCAATTAGAATTCAAGCTTTTGTAGTTTTCAGTGCGACTCGCTTTTGCAATAATCATTAACAAATGACAAGGAAAATTAAAAGAATATGTGGACTGAATTTTGAAAATGTATGCTTCTCACATGGATAATTGTATGTAGGCCACACAGGCTCACGCGTTAGAAAACCTTCTGATTTATGTGTGTACGTATCACAAAAGGAAAAAACAAAAAATATTGTATAATCCAAATACACTTTAATAAATAGCATCTATTTGAAACCTCGAATCGTCAGAATTTTCTCAATAAAATTAATAAATAAAAAAATAATAATCCAAAATAAATTGAACAATGTTAGAATATTAGTTTATGCTTAAATATCGTAAACAGAACGGGAAGACGTGATAGACATGACCATATTTAATATTTACTTATTATAATACATAATAAATTAATATTTTAATCGTTATTTTGGGTTATTTATACTTAAAAAGGTATAGGTTCAACGGTAACACCCAAAAAGAGTTGAACACACACAATTTTTTCAACGGACAACGTCAGGTATTACTCCTCATTGACCATCGCTACATTTCAAAACTATATGAACTCGAAATTTAACATGGTGGTCTTTCCAATATTCAATACAAGCAATAAGAAGGGATTTTAAAAAAATATCGGATTCAGCAAATACGGTAATTCAGAGGTAATTCAGCGTATTACCAAAATTACTATACTGATTCATTTGAACTTTCGTTTTATTTGTTTTACAAACACCAACAGTTACACCAAACTTGGCTTTAAATAGTGTAAAGTAATAATCCATTAAAACCTATGTCACAGCCAAGAATGTTCCGTGCGAAGCCGGGTAATTAAGCTAGTACTGTTATATATCTTCGAATGTTACGACCCGTGGTAGCCGTCAACAACATTTTCGTTCTTATTGCCATCCTTGCTTGTGAAGCCTTTGACGATTCCAACGACAAATGATTTCAATATAATTATTATGTTAAAAGTAACATCACTGTTATTATTATTATAATTCATATTTCAATAAACACTACTACCAGTCGCAAAGGAGTAAACTCAGGCACACATGCACGCGAGTAAACGGCCTGTTTTAATAAAGATAATGACTACGATAATAGTGTAATGTCTGTAATGATAATGATATGATTACCTCTTCGACGTGTCTACGTTATAATGATAGTAATTTACTAAAAAAAAAAAAAGTAAAAAATATATCATAAAAAGCATTTTTTGTAAACAAAACATAGAATTTTGGCCACGTAAAAATATATTTTAGACCACTGGTTGACTTTTCTAATCGATTCACCCATGTTCTACGGGTAAGTTCTCAATTCTATCACTAAACGTGCATCATAGTGCCGATAAACAGTGTACTTGACGCGCAGTGTACACGATATATACGTGTTGTGGGTAGGTAATAGAATAACGACAAACACACTAGTTATATAACTTTTAAACAAACTTTTGCGTTCCGCTAAGGGGATTCCATACCGACCGTTCTTAAGGAGTATTGTATAGGCAATGTTTTGACAATCTGTATAGTACGTGCGTGCGTGGCGTGTATGTGTGTGTGTAGTAAATTATCGTAAGCGTGAGTGAATTCTCTGTACCGTGGCTCGTCTATCATTTCACCACCGATTAATTATATTAAATTCTGAAATTGTCGAATTTTTAATTTCGTTCACATTTTATTTTTTAGAAAAATCCTTTGGAAAATCCATAAAATCATTAAAGTCTCGAAAGTGAAGGTTATTTTTTTTTTATAATATTGAGATAAAGATTTATTTTTATTTTGTTTGATGTTTTAGTTAGAATTTTATAGTTTTTTTTTTTTTATTGAATAAATATTTTTACTAAATTTTAAGTTTTTGAAGTGCTTATTTTGATGGTTTTAAGTGCTATAAGTCCCAAGCCCTGATTATATCAAATAGACTCACTTCACTCAGGGACAAACCGAAGGGGGGGTCATGAGGGGGTGTCAACCCCCCCCCACTCGGCAATATTTGATTTTCAGTCGGCAAAATGAAATTTATTTTCACCTGATTAAACCATTTTTTTTAAGACGAGAAAAGGAAAATTAATATATTATATAAATTAAATACATTGTTAATATTGTTTTGACTCAATATTTTCGTAATGGGTTATGGAGCGGATTCGCAAAAGTATAGCGAGACTGCGGGAATCGGTAGCCGGCATAAGATAAAAACCTATATAATATATATAACACGCATACTTATAACGATATATTAATAATATATCATGCATATATACAGTAAAAAATCGATAAACCGTCTATTTCTGTCATCCGTTATCGCATTTAAGCAATGCTGGCATGCGGTGACAGTTGTGGCGGGCAATATATAATATAATACGTTATCAAGCGAGGGTACCTATTCTTATACAAAATACGCGATAATTGCGTTTCGAAGAAACACTCAACAGACGAAAATTACCGATTACCATGTATCGTATATAATGTGTATGTTTGACGTTTGAACAACTGTAGTTGACGACAGTCTGTTATACACCTTATTCGGTATTTTAAAAATTGTGCTTACTTCGTGAGTTATTTATTTTTATTTTTTCTGGTACAAACTTCTGGTTCGAACATTTAATTTCAATGTCGACTACTACAAATAAGTCTCGAAAGCGTGTAATACTAGAGTGTTTGGAGTGTGGATCAAGTTTTGATGATGACTATCGTAAAAAACACGAGATTAATCGGCGGAAAGAGGACGAAGGTTAAGCATTTTGAAACACCTGATAACCCATTTAACGCTAGTAAAAGGAATACAAAACATATACCACAATCGGTAAGCTTCATATTTTATTCGATTCTATTTTACTGGGACTTAGAAAGTACCACAAGTTGTAAATTGTAATTTTTCATTCAAAACCTACCCTGCTTATTTCGAGGCTTTAAATATCTTATGAAATTTTTTAGTAATTAGATTAAAACCATTGGTAAATAATTAGGTACCTAAATTTTATGCAAATACAATTATTAAAATTATTTTAAATCTATATAGGTTATGATAGAAGAGGACGATTCTTATAATATAGATAATGATTTGGCAACAGTATGCAACTTAGTGGTACGCAACATCAGTCTAAAAATTCGGTTGCAACTAAAAAATCTTTGGACAGTCCTATTATTGAAAAAGTGAACTTCATAATGATACAAAATTACCCATAAATGTTGACATTGTAATACCTATGCAAAATTCTGAAAATATTGAAAACGAAGGAATAACTTGGTTAACTTGTGCAGGTCAGTTGAAATTACTTGTTAATGAAGTGAAGGAATGCGATTTAGTTTTGGATAAAATTAAAACTGAACAATTTCCGAACCCAGTTTTATTTGTAATTAATAGTGTTCAGAAAGTAAGAACTATTCAAAACATAGCTGATACATTTTTAAAAAATGCATCAAGTATTTTAACACAAACTATCAGCAATAATGCGACCGATATTTTATAAGATCAAACCGAATACAACACCATAATTGATCATGATCCAGGCAAACGAGAAATAATTTTAACTAGTTCACAGAGACATTATTTAATTTCATTAGGACCTCTTCAGCCTAAACTTACTTCATATCCCAGAAACAAAAGTATCAATACGAACAAACAACGGCAATTTTCTTCACGTTGGTATATTGAATTTCCTTTGTTGGAATATAGTATTGAAAAAGACTCGGCTTATTAATTTGTATGTTTTTTATTTCCAAATGGTCCGAATAGAGAATTTTCCGATAATGCTTGGGTCACTGAAGTCGTCAGGGTTTGGCACAAAATGAAAAGTAGGGGTAAAAATAAACCTGGGAAACATTCTGAGCATTTCTCTTGTTCAGCTCATAAAGCTGCATTAAGAGACTACTGTAATTTTATGAAGATATCTTGTCATGTTGATGTTTTATTTGATCAAGCAAATAGAGAAAAATCAATTCAAATTCAGCATGAGCGCGAATATAATAAGCAAGTTATTAAAATATTTATGGACACTGCTCGTACTTTAGCTCGACAAGGGTTGGCGTTTAGAGGTGATGGAGATGATAAAAATGGAACTTTCATTCAAATCGTGGAATTACTTTCCAGACATTGTAATGTTATAAAAACTTGGTTAGATAATAAATCTATGAGACCACATCATGTGACGTATCTTGGTTCTAGGTCTCAAAATTAATTCATAGAACTGCTATCTTCAAAAACTAGAAATCGAGTAATTAAGGAGGTAAAAAATGCAAAAATTTATTCAGTTCTGACAGACACGACTCCCGATGTTACCCATCAAGATAGATTGACAATATGTGTGTGATACATTAATAATAACGGAAATGTTAAAGAGAGACTTCTTGAAATAAATGAATGTACCGATAAAACTGGATTTGGGATTGCAAAGAATATTTACGATACCTTAGTAAGAAACGAATTGAATCCAGACTTCATCGCTTTTCAGTCTTACGATTTTGCCACAAGTATGTCTGGTCAATTCCATGGAGCGCAAAAAGAACTTTTAAAACTGGCCAATCACCATATACCTTATATCCCATGTCAAGCGCACCGTATTAACACATTTTTAGAACATGGCTGCAATGCTAGTATCATTATACTTAACTTAATTGGTAATCTAGAGAAACTATATGTTTTTTTTTAATGCTAGTACAAAGCGGTATGGAATTCTTAGTAAAAAGTTATCTGAAATTGAAGGTAGTTTGCAGTTGTGTAATTTATCAAAAACGCGATGGACGTCTCGTGCAGAATCGGTTAAAGCAGTTTGGACATCGTTTGAAATAATTCTTGAAACTTTGCAAGAAATCTCCTCTTCAAATTTGTATGATAGAAAAACTAAAAGCCAATCAATAGCTCTGTTTAAAAAAATAACAACATTTGATTTTATTGTATCAATAATATTTATGAAAAATGTATTATATAAACTCAAAGCACTCACAGAGAAGTTAGAAGCAAAAGAATTGAATATAATTGATGCAAGTAATTTAATAGAGGGTACAATTAAATCGCTTGAAAATATAAACAAAGATTCTGATGGACTGGATACTATTATAAACGCAGCTCTAATATTTTCAAGAAAACTAGATTTAGATCCAATAGAAGATTTTAAGAAACATCATCATAAACGATCGATACCAATCTATCCAATGACTCAATCAGACCTCTCATTAAAATTATTTTATCTTAAAGAATTTAAACAAGTATTAGACACACTGATAAACTTAACAACTGAACATTTAAAAATAACTATTGAAACACTCAAACCTTTATTTAATATTTTCAAAATGCCATTTGACAATAATACTTGTTCATTAGAAAATGTTGCGGGTGCTATAAAATTATTTCCCGAAATGACAAATAGTGCGTGCGAAAATTCACAACATTGACGCAATACATGCAGAAATTGAAATTCTGTTAAATCAATGTGATGGAGAAAATTTAAATAACATTTTTGAAAAATCTGAGTCATCAAAATCAATTCTTCCGTGGGCTAATCAAATTTGTCATTTGGCATTGACTGCTCCTGTTACTACTACATCCGACGAAAGAATGTTTAGTAAATTAAAATTAATAAAAAATTACCTAAGATCGAAAATGGCTGATCAACGATTAAGTGCACTGATGATGTTGAGTTGTGAAAAAGACATAACAGATACTTTGGATATCGATGATCTTGTACACAAATGGGCAACGCTGAAGCAACTTAGGGTTCAATTGTGATTAATATAAGTTTTTAAAATTTTAAATACTGTAACACTCATTTTATAACCATTTTGTAATAAATAATAAGTGATGAGTTATATGATAATTATTACCTATTTCATATATTATTTTTGTTGACGTTATTTTACTCTGATATAAATTTAAAATAAGTTTAAGTTAAGTTTTTAAAATAAGTTTCCACTTCAAATTTAATTTAAACTAAGAATTGAAATATAAGGTAATAAATAAATTATAAATTTACAGAATGTAACTAAAAATAACTTAATAGTTCACAAAAATTTTGAATTTCAAATTCTAGTCGGCAATTTTGAAGATTACACCCCTCCCCATGATTTTTTTTCGTGATCGTCCCTGACTTCACTATCAGTACCTAAAATAAATAATTCAATATTCGTTAACTTACAAAGCAACTATGCCGTTGCTTGCCGTCATCTCTCCACTATTTTCTTTTTGAAATTTAATACATTGCCTTTCATTTTTTTTCGTTTCGACAAACACTTATTTATAAATTTTTCCATTTTTAAAAATTGGAAAATTTCCGGACTTACAAAAACTAAGTGCATGACTTTATAACTACAAAACTATATGCTACTATTATAGTTGCACTAAAGAATAAAAATCTGAAAATCGATGTGACGGCTGACATTATCACTTAATATTATTATAACATAAAACAATCGTTATATTTGAGCGTGAATGCGTAAGCGCCACGTACAGTGTACACATATAATACGACGGCAATAATAATTATTGCTGTCGTATTATATGTTGTATTATCTTCGATCATTACCGATAATATTTAGATTTTATATTTAATATGAAAATATTATATTTAGATTTCCGATAATTCGTTCGCGACGTAGGTGATTATCTGATGGCGAGCTAGATAAGCGTTTCGCACTCGCATGCGCATGTCACATTATGCCTAGTCACATCGGATGTACAGTCGTTGCCAGATAAATTGAGACGGCGGCGGCGGCGCTTTTCACTAAGTGTAGCCCAAACTAGTCGCTGGTAGTGTGGTGCAAAGGTCTCACAGTTAGCTACGACGCGCGCAGTCACCAGTTCGGACCCGGCTCAGTGCAAAAAATTGTCTGCAGAATTTTCTGTACTCTCTCCCGTTCTGGTTGCCCTACACTGCTAAAAACAACTAACCTAACCCGGTGTGTTTTGACCGCGCAAGCACTTCAATCGTATCAACAATATTTGTTTATAACAATGCATATAGATATTGTTATTAGTTCATCATATTATTATTAATATTATGTATTATTATTATATTAATTATATTATTTTACAATTTCTACTTTTTGTTCTTAGATAAAAGATTATTATCGGAATATTTGATTTTAAATTAATATCGTAAAATATTTTTTGTAACAATAGTTGGTAAATTGATGTATTTTCGGTAATAATATTGAAATACGGAGAACCACTGGTTTTCCATTATCGCGCCGCCGCCGCCGTCTCAATTTATCTGGCAACGACTGTACGATTAGAACATTTTGCGGTAAGACTCTTGATAAGACCTATTGTGGTTATAAATTCCGAAACGCATCTAAATGTATCTATTTCAAGTAGTGGTCCCTATTTCACGTGTTCACGTTTTCATGTATTCACGTGAAATTAAATTTCGGAATTATTAAACCGTGTACTTAAAAAATCCGTATGCACGTGTAATTAATTCACGTGTTAAAAAGTTTTAATATTTACTTCTTCATTGTTACATATAATAATTAGATTTATCCCAGGGTTGAGGAATATTTATTTTCATAAAGACATACAATAATTAATTATAATAAATATAAAAAAAATTAATACATTTTAACAATGGAAAAAATTTAATAAATAAAAAAAACAAGCACTAAATAATATAAATAATAATAAGAATACTATGGTATTAAATGTCTGTTTTGGTATAAGAAAATCAGCAAATTGACATTTTTTGTCAATAGCGATGTTCTTTTAGAGGTCACCATGTTCCCAGCAGTTGAAAAACATCGCTCGGAACTTACTGATGTGGCTGGTATTGATAAGTATTTTTTGGTTAATATTGCAATTTTTGAATATTTTTCTTCCTTGGATTTCCACCAATCAAGTGGATTTAAATCAAACTTTAATTGAGGTTCAGCTAAATTATTTTGAAATTCAGTCATCAAATCGTTAACTTCAGGAATATCATCACCGTAGAGGAACAGAAGTGCACTTTTTTGAAGTGATAATTCACTTTGTGTATTGACAATATTTACATTATGTAAATTTGTATTGTTTAATAAATCGATGACGGACGAATTATGGGTTGATGGTTTAAATTTTTAAATTAATTAAATTAATCTAAAAATAAATTTGTATAAAAATGTTATATTACATATAATTTACGTGCGAATAATCGACGCTCTACTGTATTATTAAGTACATGCATGGACTTCCTAGACGTGGATTTCTCTGGTTTATTGATACTATGTGTTATTTTTAAGTGTCTTATTAAAGACTCTGTTATTCCACCAACACAACAATATTTGTTATTTTCTTCTTGATCACCAATTCACAAAATGCTTTATCCCCTTTTCGCTTCGCATAATCCCATACCCAACTTTTCTTTTTTTAACCATTATTAACTCGAAAGAATTGAAAAGTAATATTTAAAGAATATTCTTCAAATGGAACAATTTTGACTGTGCTCATACTTGATAAAATGTCTGTTGCTAATCGGATTTATCTATTATTGATAAAATTAACTGCATACTATATCAAGAATGTTAAACCGGTATACGAACATATAAATATACTGTCAAAGTAAACAATAAATCGATAATTATATTATATCATTAATAATTGTGTGATAAGGACATATAGTGATAACTTACTTTATATAGGTTATGCAATAAAATAGAAAATAATGTGATTTTATATATTATTAAACAATAAAGTAACAAAAGTAATAAAATTATAAGATGTATTACTTAAACAAACAGATAAGTACTCATTTTATTTGATATTAGGAGGTATAGGTACTTAACTTATAACAAAAGTAAATAATAATCAAGTAATTCAATCAACAATCGCTGTACATAAAGGCCAGTTACTGTATATCGGTCGTGCGGTGTTTTCGTGAATACGTGAATAACATTAATTCACGTGAGCACGGACAGTAAATTCACGTGTATTAAATATACGTGATTGTAAATTTTCCGTTCACGTGAACACGAACTCCGTATTCACGTACATAATAATTCACGTTTTCAAACGAGACCTCTAATTTCAAGCTCTGTTACCATTCGATCGCGGCAACAGTATTAATAATAAAAAAAAATATATATAAATATATATATTCAAATTTATTATTATTAGTGTGCCACTATTAAACGGTTTTCTCGTGTTCATTATACGTACTTTTACACTTATGTGTAATTAAATTATTTTGATAACACAGTTTACGTAATATAATACGTATGCATGTGTTTGCAATTTATTAGCAAACAACTGTCTCGATATAATTATTATTACAATGTACTACGATAAAAAAATTAATTATTATTAAATGACGGAAATCGCAATTATTGTTATCAAAATGTTTTTCATTAATATTAAAATATTTACAGTCAAATGTTATTTATAATACACTGCGATAAATTGTATTTTATTTCAAATTCTTTTCAAGCCGTGTTTATTATGGTTTACGATTCCAGCAAAAACATCGTTGAAATATTGAATTTATCATATAATTATTGCAAACTCTTGAGACAATAGTTTTCTTAAAACCTTTACAACGAAGGTAAAAGTATATGTTTATTAAATTTTTTAAAATCAATACTGCTGTAAAGCGTGCATAGGATTGTGTGTAGTCAAAATTTTATACTTATACGTTTTATACTTTACCACGAGCACCGGTAACACTAATCATTAAGTTCAGAAATTGTAAATGTATTTATAAGTCATGTGATAGGTACTCGTATTATGGCTTTCATATTTAAAATATTTGAATAATTGTAAAAGAAACTCGCATGTTGTTTGAATAGACATTATTCTAACTAAAGGAGACTGTTTATTTTTCCTTTCTGTTTTTAATACTATAACTCGTATTTGAATAATTATCATTATTTATATTTTTTCAATTTAACTTTTTGATGATTCTGATAAATATGATTAAATATGTGAGCATTTTATGGAGCTGTTTACATAAATTGTCTCTATAGATTAAATAATATTTTATAAATATTATATCATAATATTAGATTGTTAGATAGATTTATGTTTTATATCTATTGCATAATATTAATATAGATATATCTTAATCATATACGGGAACTTGTGAACAACGAATGTTATAAGTCATTGGTCTCGGTCAGTTGAATGATTATAATTTAGTCTTAGTTTAGAGGAAAAGTCAATAAATTATTTATCTACAATCGAATTTTCAATACATTTTTTAATTTATTTTTCATTCATACAATGTATGAAATGATATAGAGTGGATCTATTCGAATGAATAAATTGGTATTTTTTATTCTCAAGATAAATGTAGAATAATTAAAGTTATGTAATATTCGTTCATATTGATCTTACCATCACGGAGTCCACCCCATTCCGTTCGCTTAACTACGAATAACTAATCACCGAATTCATCTTATGAACACATTCTGAATTCTCCTTTACTCGTACAAAATATTTTAAACGACGTCAACGAATTCGTGTTTTGCTTCATTATCTATAAGTTATTTCAATCGGTTCCTCTTTTGAATAAACTAGAAATGTTTTTAAATAATTTTCTACGGTGTGTTCGGTCATATTCACAATGGTTACCTATACGTACATAGTGTCACAAGAAAATTTTATAAATCCAACAAATTTTGTTCTATTTATTAGCTTTATTATTATTATTTTTTTTTTTTAATAAATACTAAGGCTTTACGTTACAATAAAATTGCATCAAAAGATTTTTTTTAATTATATAACTCAAATTAAAAAATTAAAATTTTATTCTAATAAATTATAATCTAATGAAGGTTGATTTGTCAATTTTCTATGAATTTATGTTTGAGAAAAAGTTAACATTATAAATGTGTATCACATGATTATTATAACCCATATTGTTGTATAATGGTTTATAGAAATTTTATTTATTTCAAGGTTTTCGTTATCATTTGTACCTATTATCCTATTTTCATTAATTATAAATTTACATTTATCAATATCATCTCGAGTAATTAATATAGGTACGTAATGAATAAGTAATCAATATAACCGGATAACCTTAAAAAATGTGCTAACTCATAATCGAAATAAATTATAAATATGGAGTTATGTACATGACTTTTTTATTTTTGATAAACTTAAGAGTGCTCTTATACCTACAGCTCCTTGAGCAAGCATATCCACTTGCCCCCTCTCCTATTAGATCTGGCACTATATAGACATTATACTATTACTCGGACAAAAAATATCTTAAATATCCATACACACGAATATGCCGTATCCTTTAACAAACTGTGACCATTATCGAAAAAATGAAATTAACTATAATTGAACGTTGTATCGTTTTGGGTAGTTTTCGAAACTTAGTGTTTGCTTTAGAAAATACAGCGGCAGTACACGTCAAAACAATAGCAATCATCATAATACCCCAGTACACTGTACGTATGTATTGTATTACAAAATGTTTAAATGACGTGTACAGTTCTTTGTTTCGCTTACGGTACGGACAATATTATTATGTACAGGTATACCTCGTATACACATATGTAATACACGTAGGAAATGCTTTTTTGAAACTTTGGACGTATACATTGTAACAGAGGTAACATACCGCCCGTTATAGTCTAATCATTTTAAACTTTAGACAAAAAGTGCGAAACGGTGCTAAACGAAAACGGAGATACCACCTCCCGACAATCCGCGGCATGACTAAATTTTAAAAATGATTAAACAATCAGTGAACTGTTTATGGTGTGTTTACATTCGATATGAATACGTGCATGTTAAGCTGCTATGGTAGGGGGTGAACACGTTTATTATAATCGTGTCGCGTTTGAAATTTACACGTGCGCGAAATAAAACTAAACGCCGGCGCGTACACAATGCTACCATGAGATATTGTTCATTTGAAAATCAACTTGACGCAACATTTCATCGAATCGTACACGTTTGTATTACGTTTATATGCCGACCGGTTCGCAAACACGCGTATATAATACATAAGAATTACACGAGGTCTGTATAACATCACCCATATACAGTGGCGCCGAATTGTATTTTATTTGGTAGGGCAAAGTAAAAAATGTATTAATACCACAACCCAAAAAATCAGAGTAAAATAATGACAGGTTACATGATTGAATGATCATATAGTAAATTTTACCATCATAAAGTCGCTCGCTTCGTTCGAAATTTATCACTCCAATTTCATCTATTAGGTAGGTACTATTCAGCAATGGTGTATCTAGGTGAGGTAAGGAGGTTATAACCGACAGCACGCACTATTAAGTCTATTTTAGAATACGATTGTATTTATTGTTAAATGTGCCGCTTAAAATAGCACATAATAATAATATAAATTATGATCGAGTAAAATGCCTCATATTTTATCATAAATCAATAATCATACAGACTGAAAATGATAATTATAAATTAGGTATTAATTATTACCAATTTACCTTACTTATTGCTTATCTACTAATAGTGTTTTTAGAAAAAAACACTTAATATCAATTTAAAGCGTGTATAAATATAGGTTTAATTATGTAAATATTAAAATTAAAGAAATGTAAAACAAAAAATAGTTTGTTTCATTTTTTTAAACAACTGTAATTTAAAAAAAGATATTTCAAAAATGTTTCACAGGGCTATTGGTAATTTAAGAAATTATCCAAAATGTTTAAAAGATGTATTTTCATGCTGTATAATCACTTTTAAACAATAAGAACCGAAAGGCGTTTAGCTTCATCACGTGTGCGAAATAGATTTAAATGTCATTGTATGTCTTTATACTTCATAGGTATAAAGATATGCATTGATAAGCGAATTGCTCTATCGCATCCTAGTATTCTCCTACTATCTACAGATCGACAGTCAATTTGTACATTCCTAACATTTACTAACTAAAGTGTAAATTTATCCATCTAACCCCCTTCCCTCACACACACCCACCGCCATAGTTAAATGAAGGGGCGAACTGCCCTATAAAAGTACGTGCTCGGCGTTACTGCCCATATACAAACATAGATTCCGTATGCATCGGGTTTCAAATTTTCACCCCGCTCGAACGAACGACCATTTAATATTTTACGATCATATTTTCACGGCGTAGTGGATGGACTCGGATATTTTGCCGCGACCGTTCCGGCGGCGAAAGAGTCCGCGGTGAATAGTCCGGCGGCGAAACGGTCACGGCGAAATGCCCTAGACCCTGAAATCGATTTCGACCGGTGTTTGGATCACGGTAAGTGCAGAAATATTCATGATATTATAATACAACGGGTACACGCGCTTTAACGGCGGTCGCGAGACATACGTACGCAGTGCCGGTGCTAGAATTTTCGATGCCCTGGGCGAAGTATATTTCATGAGGGCGAAGCCCTTGTGCATAGAAAATACATAATAATTAATCTCAAAT